GACCCATGGTTTAGTCAACCAGCAACGGCGAGGTGGTGGCTGAGCGCGGGCTCGCGTTATCACACATATGGGTAAGTAACGCGAGATGCCAGCAGTGAAACGCGAACCCCGTTTCACCAGCCCGCTGGCCACAAAAGGAATAACCAGCGGCGGTCCAAGAGGGGTGTGCCTATGCTAAACGTATACCCTCCTACGTCCTCCTCCCAGCCTCTGCTCCCGCGGCGCGGTCATCGTCGGACGGTGGTGGATTTGCGAGCGAAAGGCGCCAACCACATCCCCCCTCAAGCGTCGGGGCGCCTGGGACGTGGCCCACGCCGCATACGCCCACCAGAGAACATGAAATAATACAGCGCCCTTCGCTCCAAACCCACCCCCCCTGCAAACGCAATTCCGAGGATTCTGACCAGGTACTTCGAGGCACAAATGTGGCAACGACGATACACGCCCCCTTTCAACTCGCTTGTTTTCAACACAAAACACTCCGCGCACGTCCCCACCGTGCACGGCGAACTTAATCGGAACTGGTGCACTCGCCAGCGTGGCGCCCAGTTCTCACCCTGCCTCGATGTCGCCGTCGCTGCGTCGCAGTCGTTAGTCACCCCCTCATTTGGCGCAGCTCTGCACCATCTTGTTGCGCAAGGTGATCGTCTTCTCCTTGGACAAATCATCTGCGCAGCTCTTCTTCACAAGCTCCAAACACACGGCCAGGTGGTCCTTCGCCTGGCTCTCAGTCACGGCCACGAACAACGTTTTTTTGGCGCCCTCCTTCTCCATTAAGAAATAGGTCTGCTTCGTGCCGAACACGCCCGTCAACGTGCCAAGGGTGGGGTGATCCATCTTCCGCTGCTTCTGCTTGCTATCCTTGATATGGTCCTAGCAGGGGTCCCGTCCATCAGACCATGCAAAGCCCCTGGGCGCCCGTGGTTTACCATCTTGGGTTGGCAATAATATCTCCAACATTCGGGATGTGCACTGGTTTCCTTTCCCGCGGGCCCTGGGGTGCCAACGCGCCTCAGATCAGGCCCCAACGTTCAGAAACCTCTATATGAGATTGGCACTTGAAGGGGCCAACCCTACTCACGAGGGCCATGGGACGAGGGGCGGGGGCTCCACCATGACCCCCTTAAGTACTTGGTTTACACTGCCAAGGTACGCCACGCGCCTACGATATTCCATTCGGAGGGGTTGCACACACAATCGTCTTGATACAGGCCTCGGAAAATATAGCGAACGTTCATGCCGCATTCATATGTGAACGCCTCCCCCTTTCCCCCATGGTTCAAAGTTGGCGGCGGGTCTGATGCGTTGCACCTCGACCACAGTCTCTCCCGCGCGTGCCAACCTTGAGTTTGGGGGGCAGGGGGGGGCGTTCACTATTTTTCCATCTACCGTATCTTCTCACCATGTAATGCTGCATTGGCTCGCTCCTTCTCTCTCTCTCTCTCTATTTCTCTCTCTCTCTCTCTCTATCTCTCTCTCTCTCTCTCTCTCTCCCTCTCGCTCTCCTCTTCTCTCTCTTCTCTATCTCTCTCTCTCTCTCTATTTCTCTCTCTCTCTCTCTCTATCTCTCTCTCTCTCTCTCTCTCTCCCTCTCGCTCTCCCCCTTTTCCCCCCCGGTTGCGTTGCGCGCGCGTGCGTTAGCCATGTTTGTCGCTTCTGGTATCGCCTGCACCATTTATTGGAACGACGCAGACCTACTTCCATTCGGGAGTTGGTCTGCTTCGTCCCCTGTCCTGCCCCCTCCCCTTCATCTCCCTCCATTAACCCCGCCAGCCCTGCATCTCTTCATCACCTCGTTCGCCGATCGACGGGCGATCGGCGCGACATGCGACGAGAGCAATTGAAAGACGGTGGTCCTCAAGCACGGTTTTGCGGGTTGGCACAGACCCTGCGCAGCGAGCCTTCGCGAGCAACGCCTTCTCGTCGAGCGCGCTGGTCAGCGCGGTCTCTATCGGGCTCTTCTTCTTGGCGTTCTTCTTCGCGGTGCCCTTCTCGGGGGTCTCGTCGAGCCTGTCGTGCAGGAGCCACTCGCCGAGCGCCTATCACGGCGCGGAGTGGCGGGCAAGGGGCGGGGAAGGGGTAGGGCAAGGGGGTGGGGGGAGAGAGAAACACGAAAGAGAGGGATGCGCGAGAGCAATACTGAGGACTTCCGTGCAAGAAGTGGACAGCTGTGAAACTGAACACATCGAACACGGAAATGCGAGGAGGCAAACCTCAAGGAGGCGCTATGTGATAAGGTCGGGCTTCACACGAGCACATTAGCGCAGCAACGGGGCGAGGGGATGACGGGTTGGGCGGGCGAGAGCGGCGGGGGAGACGAGACGGCGACGCGAAGAGAGAGGAGCGACGGGGTGAACGCATTGGGTTAGTGACGGCGAGAGGGCGGGTTGGGAGAGGTGAAGGGATGGCTAAAGGGGGGCTTCTGACACTGCCCGACAACGCACATGCGAGCGCCATCACAACCGCGTTTCCTGCTGCCGTTGATGTCGCTGCTGCTCGCGGCGCAATGTTCGGAGGGGCAGGGCAGGGCAGGCGAGGGGCGAGGGGGTGGGTGGACAGGGTGGTTGAAGCGACGTGGGCGCCGTGCTGGGGAGAGGTGGGGCGGGGCAGGGCACGCCGTGGCAGGAGAGAGAGAGAGAGAGAGAGAGAGAGAGAGAGAGAGATCATATTTGCGAGGGCCGTGAGAAGCAGGGATGCGGGGGAACGGCTGGATGGAGGCGAATGTGATGCCCCACCCCCCCCCGTTGGAGCCCGCCCTCATTGTTGCCCGTCTCCGTCCCCAACCATCTCCCTCTCCTCATTATCATCTGGTGTATTTCCCATTATCATCCTAGTGGCCACTACCATTGCAATGTGGAGTTGGTCGCGATTGACAATATGGAACGTCACATCGGGCTGAGCCTGTCTCCCCATGCGCAAGGCTGGCCCTGCAACTGGCATTGAAAATCTGACGCAGCGCACGGGCGGTCAGCAGCGTCGTGGCGCATCACGTGCACACACGTGATGTGCGCTCCCAGCGCGCCAAATGCGCGCGGCCAGACCGATCGAAGAGGAAGAGGTCGAATCCCGAGGATTGTTCTCCAAAGAAAAGGGGTATGAGGCGCCCGAGCAGTTGCGGCTACACGCAGGCTCGACAGAGGTGCCCTAGGGTGTGCGGCTACCCACGTGCTCTACAGCACGCTGGGCTGCGAAGTGCAATACAGTCGGGGCGTTGACCTAAGGAACCCTACATAAGGAACGGGACACCCTTTCTCCATAAGTTAAACCTCGACTTGCCAGTGAAAAACCTAAAAAGAAAACCCAAGTCGAACTGCAAAACAATCAAGGACCACCGAGCCCCCCCCCCAACGAAAAGGGTTATTTCTTCAGGGCCCCGACTGTATTGACAGATGGGGCAGGCACTTACCTACTGCTCCTTCAGCCAGTGCGAGAGCTTGCGAAGCATGCTGTCAGGCAACTCGCCGCAATCCTCGAACGCTGTCTGGGCAGTCACGTGCAGGGCGGCGCCGTGCTTGGTGCTATTCAGCTCATCCTCGCTGGCGCCTCTGGACTGATCTACGCTGCTGGCCGCGGGCTGGTCTGTGCTGCTGGCCGCAGGCTGGCCTGCGCCGCTGGCCGCGGGCGAGCCCGCGCCGCTGGCCTCGGGCGAGCCCGCGCCGCTGGCCGCGGGCGAGCCCGCGCTGCTGGCCTCGGGCGAGCCCGCGCCGCTGGCCGCGGGCGAGCCCGCGCTGCTCATCGGGGGCTCCGCTGAGTCAATCCTCGCAACACGGATGAGATACATCGGAGTGCCGCCGCCCTTGGGGAAGGCCGTCGCGATGTCGACGCGCACGCCCTCTCCACATGCGGCATCTGCCTGGAGGTCCTCGCGACGAGCAGGAGGTTCCCAACCCAACTCCTCGCGGGGCGCCAGTAACCTCAACGAACGGAAACGGCGACGTTTAATACACTGGTTTTGGAAATCACATGCGTACTTGAAGCTAGACGCTAGACATTACAACACCGTAGGCGTCCTGCAACCTGATCCGCATGGCAGGGCCCAGGTTGTTCCACATATGCGACAACTCCCATGGTGATTTTGGCTCCTTGCGGGCGAGCGAAAATGATGGACTAATAAAAAATGAGCCCCTTCGCATCGTCTGCCCCACCATCCACGTCATCCGTCTCACGCCCCATCTCACCACCCTTAAATTCTGGATCATAGCACCCGCATCTTGGATGGGGGGGGGGGGATCGGGCGAGGAGGGGCGCGGGCTGGGATGTAGGGTGGTTGCGTTGGTACCACGTCTCCGACTGCGGAGATGGGGTCTTTACCGTGTAGCGCCTGCGCTTGCCCACGGGCGTCGCGTGCGACGGCGCCTCGTGCAGTCTGGACTATATCTGCCTACCTACCAGACCACCCCAACCCAACCCGAAGACCCGAATTTCGGGTTGGGGGGCCATGGGCTCCACATGTGTTTTTTCGATGTTCCCAGGCCCCCCCCCGCTAGAAATCGATGGTAAATCTCACCCTTCGGGTTGGGTTGGGGCGGTTTGGTGGGTGGTGAATATCAGGGTGGGTGGTCAATATCAGGGATGTCCATCTTCGGGGGGGCGCTGGGAAACGGGCGACGCGAACAGGGCGAGGAGGGGAGGGGTAGAGAGGAGGGGGGAGAGGGATAATGAGAGAGGGGAGGGACAGGGAGAGGGCGAGAGAGGGAGAGAGGGAGGAGAGGAGGGAGGATAGGCTGGGGATGGGGGTGGTAAAAGGGAAGGAGGGGGCGAAGTTCAAGTTGTCTTTGTAGCGCCTCTGGGCTCGCTTCCTCGCTCGAATCCTCGATGACTTGGGAGCTGGCCGCGTTCGGGCTGTCATTCCTGAGGGTGTGCCACGGCGGCGGCGAATGCAGAGGCGGGAGCGGCGGAGGAATAGGTACATGATAAGCAATGTGGAAGGATGGGAGGGTCGATGACCAGGAGATGGTGAAGGGTGGGGATGACAAGGTGCATATGTCCTCGTTGGCGACATGAACTCGAAGATCGACTTCTGGCAAGCACCGTTCTTCACGATCGTCGCTACGACCTGGGAGACGTGCTCGGCGAACGACCATGGGAGAATGTCCGCATCATCTTCGCCATGGTAGTCTCTTGCACTGGTACGGGGTCTGCTCAGCCTGTTCTTCTCCAGCGCGTAGAACTCGGGGCAGCTGTGGCGGATGATGAACTCCTTCAGCAACTTGTGTCCGTAGCTGCGAAGGTTCGTCTTCGTGGTGTATGTGCACGCTAGGTTGCGCAGCTCCTCGACGGGGGGGTACCTCCATGCGTATGATTGAACTGAATGGGACCAAGCCAGCTGCCCCCCGCGAAGCCACAGCAGCGTCGACATGGCAACGAGCCGCGAAACCACCAAACTGGATTTCCCGTTGATGTAGGTCTTGCCCGACGTGGCCTCCTCGGGCGGCGCGATCCACGCGACGCCGCCCGCCTTCAATTTAAGTGACATGCGGAGCATCTGTTGCCACCCCATGTCCGTCGTGATATCCCATTCAGGTCCAAAGGAGCTGTCGAAGGTCTGCGAGACGCCATGGGTTGCACACTGCTCCGAGAGGCGTCCAGAATTAGCCAGGACCTCGAAGAACGTCACGTCGCGGTCGCCAATCGTCCCTGCGAGCGCGGGAACCGTCTCCACAATTGGGGCAACCAAGCGCATCAAGTTCCTATTCGCGAGCTGAGAGCGCTTCAAGCGATCCCACCTGTCCATGATCAAGAGATCCTTTGCGATCTCGTCGGCGGCGGCCGTGTCGATGCGCTCGTCGCGCGGCTCTCGGCGCGCCATCGCAGACGCGCCCGCCAGCGCCACCGCCTGCGGGGTATCATTAGGCATGGTCGGCGGCGCGCGTGCGCGCAGGATAAGGGGGAACGGGGGGATTGGAGAGCGAGGGGCGCGGCTGGGGGGGGGGAGATGGAGGTGGAGGGGGGGGGGGGGGGGTGGGGGGGGGGGAAGGGGAAGGGGCCGGAGGGGGGGAGAGAGAGAGGAGAGAGAGAGAGAGAGAGAGAAGAGAGGAGAGATGAGAGAGGAGAGAGAGAGAGAGAGAGAGAGGAAGAGAGAGAGAGAGAAGAGAAAGGGAAAGAGAGAAATAGAGAGAGAGAGAGAGAGAGAGAGAGAGAGAGAGAGAGAGAAACAAAAAGATAGACAAGAGAAAGAGAGAGAGGGAATGAGAGCAGCGGAGGGAGAGAGGAGAGGAGAGGAGCGGGGGGAGTGAGAGAGAGAGATAGAGAGAGAGATAGGAGAGAGAGAGAGAGAGAGAGAAAAGAAAAGAGAAAACAAGGGGGCAGCAGAGAAGAGAAGGCAGCAGAGAAAGAGAAAGAGGGAGGTGGCCAAGGAACGGTGCACGGCGTGATTGACCTTTTGGGCGGGGCGGGCTGGCGGGAATACGCGCAGGGGTGAACCTAGACATGCATGGGGATATGCAAGTGCGGTGCGCGGACGGAGCAGACGACAGAAATTGGAAGGGCGAGTCGGCGGCGTGGAGGGGGGGCGGGGGAGAGGGCTTCGAAGGGACACTAGAAGAGGTGCTGCAGGGGAAAATGCGCAGAGCACGATGCGGAGGAGGAGCGGAGGGGCGGGGGAGGGGGCGGGCGACGGCGACGGGGGGCGAATAGGAGGCGGAACAACAAAGACACACCAAGGAAGGCAAACAATCCGTGCGCCTTGAGCTCGTCGTCGTCGATCGGCTGCTGCCTCCTCGTGGTGCGCATGACCGCGCTGTCGTCCACCAGCGGCTCCTCGCGGCCCCGCGCTCTCTCTCTCTCTCTCTCTCTCTCTCTCTCTCTCTCTCTCTCTCTCTCTCTCTCTCTCTCTCTCTCTCTCTCTCTCTCTCTTTCTCTCGTTATCTCTTTATGTTTTTTTGTCTCTCTCTC